TACATTTATATCAAATAACTTTGCTTTTGAATGCAAATCATTCATTACGAATCGTGCCTTTTGTCAAGATGGCTTATTTTAGGCAAATAAAATAGCCTAATTCGTCCTTTTCATTTGCCTGGCTGTGCCGTCGACTTGTATTGCACGTTTGCATGAAAATGCAGTTAACCGTTATTCTGACACTTTCATAAACATCAGCATTTAAACCCTTCGTGACATAATTTATCTTACGTTGTATTGCGCTTTGCTTTACATTTTGTTTCTCATGTGCGGCTATTCAGCTACCGGTCGAAAATAATTTGCTACCGTTCGGCCTATATTTGGATTTGTTCGTACTGCTCTTCTTAACGTTATTATCCTTTTTGTAGCATTTGTGCAATGATGTTTCTATTTATGTTGAAAAATAAAATACATTGATGATACTCTTCGAACGGTAAATTTTTAGATTCTTCACAAAGTAACAAATTCTGTCGTAAGTACTCCTCTGAATTGCATATGCTACCTAACCGCACGGCTATCTGGTTCTTTGCAGTCGTTAGATTAGCTGAATATGCGATAGAATGTAACCTTCTATGTATTATTGTATTTGTCTGATAATTCGCTTTTAGCATGTCTGTTTCTAAATGTATATCATTTATGCTATTCTTAGCATTATTTGCCGTCCTCTTTTAATGACTGATTCCAGGAAATTCTGAATAATCAATATCTAGAAGTTGTCCTGTCTGCTGCTGTTACGTGGAATAAATATACATTCAGTTTGAATTGACTTGTTGGCGCCTGCTGATATGCCATGTTCCTGGACTAAGAATTTATAAGCTCAACAAACAGTGCTTTTTAATCTGATGCATTTTGCCCTCCCATTCAACGTACTCCCTAATTAAAGTTTCTGAGGCTACTCGGCATCGCAGATTGTCGATCCAGCAATCTCATTGGGTCCGTACGCAGAATCACATTATGAAAATAATCTCGATGACGACGTTTCGCATCCTTTATGTTACAGCCTTTTTTAAGGGTACATCTCCACTTGTATTAGATCAAAGAGAACTAGATTTATTAACATATGCTACGACAGATCAATTCCCATATATTTTGTATTATCTTCAGAGCATTTTCTCAAAATGATCAAAACAGCCATCTAATTTTGTAATTTCTTTAATTCTCTTTATGTTACCGTGCACATGTTTTGTGGCCATTCTATATTCTATCAGCAGTTAGTATGAATTTACTTGAATGTGGGAATGAACACAAAAGATTCGCCAAGGACCAATTGCATAAACAATGTGACTACATTTAAAACTCCGAAGATTAAGGTTACAGTTTTTTCACTCCAGTAGGTAAAATCTAATCCATATTTTTTACAGAAATTTTTTCTCCATGAGACAAGCTTATTGTTCGATTGGCAGAAAGAAAAACATCCGGAAATCCTCGTGCAAATTTCAGTCTTATACACGACCATCGTAAATTTGCAGTAGGTTTGTTGATTTTCGATAGAGATTGCTACATCGTAAATAGGTTGTTCGGCATCGGCGAAGATGTCCTCACCGAGCGTCATGGCGCTCGTTACGACTGAACTGTAAACCTGCTGTTTATAGCCCCCTGCATCAGATCTACAAAGGTTGACTAGGATCTTTGGTAGGCACGTCGTACGGTCTTAGTGACGAACTTTCAAGCTAACAAATTAGTCCGGAACAGTATAGTGAGATATATTCCACCACCGTATACTCCACATGTACCACCCATCCGTTTTGTTTTTTCTATACCATTTGGGGTCACTGTTCGTCACTGACTGCGGCAGATTAAATGTTTGAAATATTTCATTTTTCGGAAGGCGCCCGTAGAACTCAGTAACGTATATGGCGTATATTTCGAAGAGATTTTAAGCAAAGCTCAACACTGATTTGAAATCAAATTTCAAACATTACTCACTGAAATAAACGTTTTCTAGTTTTATTTATAGTTAAAATAAATTAATTATGAACTGACGAGTGTACGACCACTGTCCAACCCGAAGCAAAATCGGCAGCGATGTTGATAAACCTGGAGGAAGGGCCCAACTTGATGTATCGCACATCCCACTTGAAAGACGAGGCTTATCGGAAGTGGGTTCATGGCTTGCATCCTGTGGCGAACGCAGTTTTGTCAAATTGTACAGACACACTAAAAATATACAGGAGAGGCCTAAGTAAACATATACGAAAAGCGTCAGAGCCTAACGAAAAGAAATGGACGGAACCCACAAATACTTCCACCGCATGCGCCTACTTTTAGCCGCAGTTTGGATGCAATGTCGTTGTCGCCAGACTTTCTTGCAGACTTTGTTTTATTTGTATTTTAATTACTGTCAACATTGTTTAACTACGGAAGACAGATATACAGTGAGTGCATGAAGTGAGTCAAAGTTCCGACAAACAGCGCAAACGACATGAATAAATGAGAGTTTACCCTGTCTACTCACAAGCACCAAAATTGCCAATTCTTGTAGGCCTA